ACACACACACACACACACACACACACACACACACACACACACACAAAAATAGTGTGTATATATAATAATATATAGCTTTTTCAAATGTATGTGTATCAATAAATATAGGACATTACACTTATGTCATTCTTCCCTAGATATTTTGACCATTGTGAGATAAATATTTGATTTATCCTTGACTTTGGACATCAAAAAGTAAAGGAATGGATCAAGGCAACTACTTAAACTGCTTAGACATAAAGCAATAAGATAACAAAAATATAAGTCATCTCTCTTGTTGTAATAGTAGTTAACTTGGTGAGCGATAAGTATGATATTGCTTGGTGTGAAGCAAATAGCAAAAATTGTAAGGATTAAAAGACTTATTTTAATATACCATAGCCACTTCTGCTCATAAATGTTTAGTGTTTGAATAATAGCAATATAACAGAAAAAAATTATGGTCAGTGGGATTACAAATCCAAAGAATGCTAAACAAATAAAATAATAAAATTGGAATGATAAACTCTCCATGGCATTTTGTACATCATGGCAGGTACAAATATTTAATTGTTCCAAGCAGTAGCTCTGCTTAGTTATGTAGAATGGTAGCATGTACAGAAAAACAATTGCCCATACTGTGCAGCAAACTAGGATTGCATAGGTTCGTTTTGGTAGACTCCTGTAGGTGAAAGGGTGAATGATGGCTACATAACGACTGATGCTGATACATGAGAGAAGTAGAATGGAGCAATACATATTGCCATAGAAAATGGCAGTCATAGTTCGACACATGACTTCTCCAAAAATCCAGTTGTTTCCATTGAAGTGGTATGCTATCTTGAATGGCAGCATGATACAGAACAGAAGATCTGAAATTGCTAAATTTGTGTAGAATATGGCAGTACAAACAGATCTTATTCTGAAAAATAGCATCCATAGAGTGATGGTGTTTGATGGTATGCCTAATAAAACTACAATTAGATACACTGCAGGTATTAGTCTGGTGCTCAAAGAGCTGCTCAGGTACTCCATTGTGGTATTATTCACTTTCAGTGTTGAATCATTTGACTTTCCCAAAGAGCATTTGTATTCTCCGACAGTAGGTGTTGCTGAATCTTCTGTACCAGGTTGGGGAAAGCACTCATAAATTCCTTGTTGAATTCCATGAAAGGTTCTGATAGGTGTGTTTTGACTTGCGGAGCTGTTCTTATGTTGATGTTCTAGAATTTTAAAAGAACAAGTTAAAATTGTGAAAAGATAAACTTATTCTGTAGAGAGAGCTAATATGCACCTTTTCCTGGTATAAATCATTGTATCTTTAATGTGAAGAATGATTTTGTTTTAAAGAAAAAAAAATAATTACCTGTGGTTTCTATATAAACTGTGCTCAGGGAAAACCTCATTTTACTTCTAAGCTGGCTTCCAGCCTGGAAAGCTCAGCTTGGAATTAGGGTCAAGCTGAGTTCTTCACATCCAGTGTATTACTGGTAATCTTTGCTGGCAGGTGCTTATGGTAGAGAGAGGTCATTAACTGCATTAGCATGATGTTAGCAGAAGGCACCTTAGGCCACTGACGGATATTAAAAAGAAAGCGCAAGGGGATTTGGTGCATGATCTCAACAGGTTGCACTACCTGCTGTCACACATGCATGGTAGGAGGTACAATTATGAGATTGTGTGCGATTGCATTGCACCACACTGGTGGTGCAGGAGGAGCTCAGGGTCCTGAACCTGGGCTCTCCCTGCAATAGCAGTTCTCTGCTTCCATGGCTGGGAGCCCCATCAGTTGATCTCAGCTCCCAGCCCTGGAGGCATACCAGGTGCTCCTGTGGTTGAAAGCTTTAACCAGCTGATGGAGCTCCTAGACACAATTGCATGGTGCGCTTCTGCAGCTGGGAGCTCCAATAACTGATGAGGTTCCCAGTGGCTGGAGGAAGGAAGGAGAGGGGCATCCTGTGCTCTTGTGGCTGGGAGCTGTCCATGATCAGAGCTCCCAGCTGTGGGCTAGGATGAGGGGGGTGCACCCTGCACTCCCCTGGCTGGGAACTTCATCAGCTGATTTGGGAAGTTGGCAGTGCTCCCCAGCTGGGAGCTGTGCTCAGTTGACCAGTGCTCCCAGCCTCTGGAGCATAGGAATTTTCTGAAGGCTGGGAGCACTGGTAACTTGTTCAGTTAGATGTGATAGGAACCAGCCATAGTTACTGCACACATTTTGGTGCAATAACTGTCACCTTGTTTCTGGTTTTATTATGCAGTTACTTGAAAGAACATGTCACCTACTAAAGACCAGATTAATTAGTTAATCACATTTTCAGTGTATTGTGAATCAGACTACATCAGAACTTTTACTTGGAGATCCTGGCTTTTTGTCTTTTAAAAATCCCAAATTCTCTTATTAAACCCCCAAATCTGTATTTTTCTGTGTTCTTTTTTTAAATGAAATGTCGTGTGTGTATGTGTCAGTTGAACACAATGTCTTATTGATATATTTACTATTTTTAAAGCAGTTTGGAAGCGTACCTGTGCCTCAATCACTATAATAAAATAAATTCTAAATACTTATATGTTGGTATTTGATTTTGGTTTTTTTATTATGGGGAAAATCAGGGCTCCTCTGTCCCCTTCGCTTACCAGGACATAGGCCCAGTTGCCGCTGGTGTGTGCGTGTGAGAGTCCCCACTTCTCTGTGGCTCTGAACAGCACTGATATGCTGGTGCCCTGTCCCTGCCCATGCTGTTGCCTCTCACTCCCAAACCACAGCCCTGACGGTGCTCCTCACTTCTAGCCCACAGCCCTCTGCCCCCAGCCTGTACAGAATGGGGTGGATGTGTGGGGAAGCGCAGGTGTGGGCACAGGCAAAGCATGGGGGTGGGCCACAGGCAACGCAACATGGGGATCATGTGCCTCTGACATTTCTGTGCCCACGGTGGGGTGTGACATGCAGGGTTGCAGCTGGGCTGGACCAGCTCCAGAGGAGCTGTTCTGTGGCCCAGAAAACTGCCTTGGGCTTTTTGAATGTCTGTACCTACCCACAGGGGAGGGCAGCTGTCTGGAAAATTGCTATTAATCAGCTTCCCCAGTTTAAAACTAGGATGATGGAACTCTATCTCCTTTAATAAAAGGTTTTGATAGGTCATAATATCCGTTCATCTGTAGATATAGGAAAAATGAGAGTAATTGATTTGCTTACCTGTAATTCATTAGTGTCTATAGAACTATGAACAAGTCACAAAGTAAATATTCTCTTATTACTTAGACAAAACGTAACTACCGTGTTTGATATGTTCTCTATTGTCAATGTTTCTGATAATGTCTAGGGTAGAAATTTCTAAAGATGTTGTAATAGATAATCTAAAAATGGTTTGTGCTTGTGCTTGGCCTGAATTCGTTAATAACATACAATGATTTTTTTTATGGTATTAGATGTAATACAACTTCAAACTTATGTAACCTTTTAAATTTTTTTGAGAATCTTTTTAGGTACAATAATCTCAAAAGCTTTTAAGTTGTACTTAGAGTCTGGATCTTGAAATTGCAGTCATACCTTCAGAGTACATTTGCTCTGAACTCTTTAAGAGGTAGCAGGATTTAACAGGATGAGTGTGAAACACCTACTCATTTGCCCTGCAGTGACAATTCATCTTTGATAAAAGTACAGAAAATAACACTTGTGTCCACACTTAACTGACCACTAAAATGGGCTCCTTCCACTGTAGGTGTATGCTCTGCAGTAGAGTTGTTTTGAATCACTCAGATAAGCTTCCTGGGTGTAGACAATGTCAGTTTCCATTCCCTGTGGGCATGACTGCCCTTTAAAGGGGGTGTGTGTGTGTGTGTGTGTGTGTGTGTGTGTTTAAATAAATGCATGAGTGTTTTATCTTCATCTAAAATGTCCAGTTTTGCTCTCACTAAAACTTAGTCCCCCCCAGTTAAGATGACAATTTTGTTAGACCCAGACTTTGTAAACAACCTCTTTCCCCAAGCATTTGTCTTGTGATGCAAGCAAGCATTCTCACTCAGCCAAGACTTTTCTACTACTGGTGTTCCTCGTTTTAAGTGATAATTCTGTGTCTGATACTCTCTACATAGAGGGTATATTCCTGCAAAATCACTACTACATCTGCAAGTAGTGGTAGTGTTGGATGTGTTGTGTTGTGCAGGGGATGGAAGTGTCAATAAACAGAAATACAGTTGCTCTCTTCCCTTCCCCACTTCCCTCTAATTTTGCTAACTGATACGTAACACAGTTGCCTTGGATTCTTTCTCTAACAGAAATGAAGAAATCAACATTTTACTGGAGATGTTGTACACTATATCAGCTGACTTAATCATCTAAAATACAAATAAATATAATGCAGATGGCATCACATAAAATATAAAACACAGAAAATGAAACTTACCGGTTAGGCTAGAAGGAAGAAAAAGCAATCCAGTTATTAAAATAAATGCTTTCATTTTCATTATAGGGAGTTAAATCTAGTTGGTAAAGTAGTGCTACTTTAACTCATCTGGAGGCTTTTATCTACGTTTTTTGTGCAAAAGTCTACAGACCTTTACTCCTCGAAGCCAACTGTAGATATGAGATTTATGGTAACGAGCTTGTTTGTCCTTTGTCTACTAGAGCAACAGGGCGTGAGGTATTTGAACATGTAAATACACATGACTCAGTTTCAGCCATTTCCCAATGCAGGAGGGGATTAAACTTTTTACAATAGTTTAACTCCTAATTTGCCATAAGCATGAATTCTTAGGGATTTGTGTATATTTCTACTGTACTTTTAATATGACTGCAATACAAGTATTTTTTGTCTAACACCTTTCTGTTCTCTCCCACTCCAGTTCTTCGTATAACATAGATTAAATACACATGGCTGCATGATGCATGTAAATTTTGATTTAAAAAACCTGTGGAGATGCTTAGTCTGACTGTGTCTAAAGATTTATATATTCTTTTATGGTGGAAGAACTTTGACACTTATTTCTCCGCCCCTCTCCCATATTGACTAGCACTGATTTATTGTTTGGAATTCAGTAATATAGATTAAATCACAGATTCAGTCAAACTGGTTGCTCACCTGAACTGGCCAACCCAGGATTTCATCACTACAGACCTCATTAAAAAAAATTAGCAAAAGTATTTTGAATAATTTTCTTTTTGCAAAACTAATAAATGCTACTGCATGGTTCTGCGTGCTTTATGGTCCTGAATCAGTCTTCCACATAGGGTGCTGACAGATGTGAAATAAAAAAAAAAAACGTGCTTTAGCAGAAGAGGCAGTGCATTAGTTCGACCCTGCTCTACAGACTCCATATAGATTCCCCACTTTAGCAGAGCTTTTTGGTGCTTCTATCTAAGCTGATTCAGTCAGCTATTAGATAAAAGCACCAAAAAAGCCCCACTGAAGCATCTGATCTATACAGATGTTGGATGAGCTGGTTCTAACTAACCGGATACCTCTTCTGGGCATGCACTGAGTTTAAAGCGCCGTTTTTTGCAGTTTTTTACTTCTGTATGCAGGTATAATGTCTAATGCTGTTGGAGTGCTCTTGACAGCAGTGTCAACATAAAGTTTACATACTAGAAATTGTCATTCTTTGGATTTTAAGACTTCTACCGTGAATCTACTGGGAACATCTGGATAGAGTATTACTGAAGCCTGACCTCACTAGAGTCTCTCCTCTTGTACCCACACTGGCACATGCGTCTCACTTATTTAAGCAGGCAAGGTTCTTTGAATAGATGTGATAGCTTTTATTAGACCAACTAAGTAGTTTGAAAAAAGTTCTTAGCAAACTTTTGGGCACAATCACCCTTCAGACATAGGGAGTTTCTGCTGTTCTGAGACTCCAAGGAATGAGAGAAGCTAAAAGTGTGACAGGATGTCAGTGAGAATGTAAATAAGTAGAAATGAGGAAGACAAAAGGTAGAGCAGGTGAGGAGGGAAGAAAATGGGGGGAGGGGGAATGCCAAAGGTGAGTCAGAGACTAAAGTGGTGATAAATAATACAAGGTAAAAAAGAGGCTGTCTGTGAAAAAGGAAAAGGCTGGAAGTTAGGAAGATAAAGGGCAAAAAAGTAGGGGAGGGGAGAAAAGGGGGGGGCAGAGGAAACAACAAAGTAAGAGGTCAGGTCTGGCAGGTTCCTGGTAAATTGGATGTCAGGCAAGTTTGTTCTAATGTCATAATTCCAATGTCTATATTGAGTCCATGATTTTTTGTATCCAGTAGATTTATGAAGTAGAGTTCATAGGCTCGTCTATGAAAGGTGTTTTGTAAGTTCCCTTTGAGGATTAGAACTGAGAGATCAGAAAGGGAGTGATTGCTTGTGCGAAGTGTGCCCCCACAGGTAGTTGTGTGTTCTTGTCTTTGATAGATTTTCAGTATGCGTTCGTTCTGGTGCTCAGCTTTTGTTTGGTTTCTCCTCTGTATTTTTCCATCGGGGCATTTGGTCAGTTGGATGAGATGTATAACATTTCTGGAGATGCAGGCATAAGATCCAGGAATGGTGATGGTTCTGTTGTGGGGTGTGGTTATTGTGAGGATGATGGAGATGTGTTGGCAGGTTTTGCATTTCTTATTCTGGCATGGGCCGTGGTTTGGGTCATAGGGAACTTGCATCTGGTGATGAGGTTAGTGAGGTTTGGTGCTTGTTTAAAAGCTAAAATGGGTGGTTCTGGAAAGATCTCTTTTAAGAATCGGGTCGTATTCTAGTATGGATTGCAGCTGTTTGAGGATTTTCCATGTAGGTTCCAGGGAAGGGTGACATGTCACAACTAATGGTGTGCAATTTGAGGGGGGTTCTTCTTGTACTGCAGCAAATTTTCTCATGGTATCCGGGTTGCTCTTTCAAAAGTGCAGTCTATCGGTCTGTTGGTTGAAGGCCCTTTTTAGATTTGTGAGGTGGTGATCATGGGTATTCTCAGTGCAAATTTGGTAGTACTGGAAAATTACAGCTTTCTTGGTGTGTTTAGGGTGATTGCTGGTTCTGTGTACGTTGGTCTGTGGGTTTCTTATATATGGTGGTTTGAACTTTTACAATTTTGGATATTGATCATGGTGTCCAAAAAGGAAATGCTGGTATTAGAGTATTCAAGTGATAGTCTGATGGAGAGGTGATGATTGTTGATTTCCGCCAAAAAATCAAACTGCAGGGTTTCGGTCCAAATGATGAAGATGTCATCTATGTGTCTCAGGTCTAGTAAGGGTTTGATGGTGCTGTTCTTGAGGAATTCTAGGTGGACCATAAGAAGGTTGGTATACTGTGGGGCCACTTTGGTGCCCATAGCTGTGTCCAGGGTGTGGAGGAATTGTTGGTTGTTGAAACTGAAGCTGCTGTGTGTCAGGATGAAGTATATGAGTTCAGTGATAACCTGAGGTCTGTACTCTTAGTTGTAATCGTGTTCTTGTAGATGTGAGAGGCAGGCTTGGATGCCATCCTGGTGTAGGATTTTGGTGTGTAAGCTAATCACATCCATGATGGCTAGGAGGGTATTGCTGGGAAAGGTGGTCTATGTTTTTGAGTTTTTGCAGGAAGTCTGTTGTGTCTGAGATGAAACTTGGTCTTTGGGTGACGAGCGGTTTTAAGATGGATTCAGTGAAACCTGATATTTCTTCCATTTAGGGTTCCATGGTTTGAAAGGATAGGTCTGCCAGGGTTTCCTTGTTTGTGGATTTTAGGAAGCAGGTGTAAAGTCCCTGGGTTGAGTAGTGGAGGGATCAGGGTCTGAAGTTTTTCTTGCATTTCAGATGGAAATGTAATGGTGGTTTTGAGGTGAAAAGGGGAAATGGATCTTCCTCTACTTTTTTAGTGGTGTCAGAGTTCTCTGTTGGCAAGTGGCCAAGATGGGCAGGGGGGAGTATCAGTGGCGGGCTGCGGGGCATGGTGGTAGCACTGGCTGTAGCCACGCCCCCCCAAGATTTCACGGCACACCTGGATGTGGCCGGAACTGTGCAGGTGGGGTGGGCTGTTCCTGCGGTCTGAGACAGGGGCTGCACCAGGCTCTTTTGCATGTTAGGTAGAACTGTTACGCATTTGGTGAACTGAAAAAGCAGTTCACCAAATGTGTACAATACATCTTTGCTTTTTGGCTTTAGGTCTAGGTTTCTGTAGTCAAATTTAGCTTTAGGCTAGGAACAGCTGTTGCATTTGTTCCTGAAGAAGTTGCACTTTTGTGTTCCTAGACCGAAATATCCCAGTATTAGAAGAGTGGTTATATGTACATGACAATCAGGTTTAGTAAATGGCTGACTGCATTGCTGCTTTTCTGCCATTGATTCAATGAAACAATCCTGGGATAGCAAAATGCATCTGAATGGTTATGTCCTGGGATAAACTGCTAGTATTTCATATTCTGCAAACCTCTTTAGGATTAATTTCAAGACGTGGATGTCTGAATCTGTGTAGGGAATGTCTGAATGATTGCAGCTTGTTCCAGGATAAAATGGTTTACCCCAGGACAAATGCAGTATCTGTTTGTAGTCTTCAGTTGCTTGCAGATGTTTTTAAAAAAAAAAAAAAAAGCAGCACTTTAAACAGAGAGAGCTCATGTGCTGAGCCCAGCATATGCTCAGTAGAGGCAGCACCTTAGTTGGACCCGGCTCTGTAGTATCTGTATAGCTTGAGCACTTGTGGAGCTTTTTTGGGACTTTTATCCAATAGCTGATTGAATCAGCTTTAGCCAAAAGTGCCAAAAATCCCCACGGAAGTGCCTGATCTATACAGATACTGCAGAGCTGGTTGAAGGCTGATTTAAACTAGACATAAGGAAAAACTTTACAGTCCAAGTGTTCAGGGTCTGGAACAGACTCCTTCCAGAGGTGGTGTGAGAACCTACTCTGGACTTTTGAAAAAGGCATTTGGATGATTATTCTGCTGGGATCGCTTGACCCCAGCAGACTTCTTTCCTATAGTGGGGGGCTGGAATTGATAGTCTCGCAAAGGCCCTTCTAGCCCCTAATGTCTATGAAAGTAACACGCTGCTTCTTTTGGTAAAGCGTGTTTAGGGAGGTGGGGAATGGGGCAGGAGACAAAACATTAATGTCTGCAAGCAACCTCTGTGTCCTGAGGTTTCCAAAAGGCTTTTTTCTTTCAAAGCTTTAACGTTGTTTTTTGAGTATATTTGACTTTTTATATTCAAATACTTCTCCTCCCTCTTTTCCAGGAAACCCATGATGAATCAGCAGTTCTCTGGCTAGATGAAATACAAAAAGGAATCGATGATGCTAATAGGAATATAGAAGAAGCAGAAAACTGTAAGTAACAACCTGAATCTGAATTAAACTTGACTTCTTTTTATCCTGAAAAAAAGCAAGGATTTCTCATTTTGATTCATGTTCATGTGAATTCTAGCCAGGTTAATTTAATGGCTCTCTTAAATGTATTTGGTTAAAGACAAAACATATTTTATTTCAGGATGGTTGAAAGTGAATGAAATAAGATTTAAAAGCCAGATTAGTGTTCAATATGTCCAGAATATCATGGATATGTCTTAGTTGATGTGATCTTTTACTGCTTAAATGTAATAAAACTGCAGGTTTCTAACACCACTGTTTTCACAGAGCTGATGAAGTCATAAAAATGTTTCTTATAGCATGAAAACAAATGAGGGGATGAGAAAAGGAAACTACAGATTAGTTGAAAAGTTAAGCAGTTACAATAAAAACTTGAGAGACGTCTTGTATGCAAGACTTTATCTATGTTGCAAGACCAGAATTCCTTACATGGTCACAACTTTGGTTAGTCGATCCTTATTCCTCAGTAAATGTCAGTAATTTCTCTAACTTACAAGCTTGCCTTTTAATGATCAATAGTACTCTGAAAAATATTTATTTTGTGTAGAAGCAGAAGGTATTCCAGTCCATATTGAACCTGACCTTATTCTATGAAAACAGCAGTCTGGAAAATGTCAGAGTAGACCTGTCCTGGTTGTATAGCCTATGCATACCAATTTATAATGTTGTCTTCTTTCCCGGAAGTTTTGACTTAAGTATAAGGCATTTGTAAAAGCAATTTTATATAAGCAAACTGTAAAAGAATTCTAAATAAAAAACACTAAATAGTTCGTAGTAGAAGAAAAATTTGACTAGAAACCATTGCATCGGTTTTTTTAACATAGAT